TTGCAATTTTTCTAGTTTGTTAGTATTACAAATTCCACAATTATTCCAAACTTCACTGGCATATTCATAAATCGGTCGTATATATACTAAGTATAATTTTTCTAAGTTTGACTTGCTAAGTCTGTACTTTAGCTTACGTAATGTATTTATATAGATTTTGATATACTAAGTACAAGCGCTTCTGGCGCAAATACAAAATTTCAATCCTGGTATCTATGATGAGTTTATTTACAATGTTATCGATGTGCTTATTCCATATTGCATCGTTACTTAGTGTAACTCCAAGGTGTTTGTGGGAATCGGTGATTGGAATATCTTGCCCATCAAACGTAAAATTCATATGTGGTACTTCGATATTCGAGAAAAGCATAATTTCAGTTATATCTGGATTGCATGACATGAGTCATCTTTTTGACCATTTATCTAGAATTTTCAGGTCATGATCGATTACAGTTTGTATTTGCAATCTATCATCACTCGAATAATTGAGAGAAGTGTCGAAGTAAATGATAATATACTGATTGCCAATGAAAACGCAACACTTTGTTTTTTAAAAATAACATTTTTATACAAACTAATGTTTTCTTTACAGTAATTGTTAATGACAGTTAATGGGTTTATCTAAAGATAAAAGTCAAACAAAAATGTTCAATTACCACGATTCGAATGCAATGCGTTCATGCAACACAACGCTACAATTCACTAACTCACAGTCTCAATAACGAATGTGTGTCCATCGCGTGCTGCAACGCAATCTCTACAACGACGTGGCATTGACCTGACCAGACGTCGGATATGGTGTTGTGGAGTGTTTGTCCATTCTTCCCGCAATGCATTTTCAAGTTGGCGCAGCGTAACTGGTGGTGGCTGTCGTCGTCTTACGGCTTGTCCAATTTTATCCCATAAGTGTTCAATTGGACTCAAATTCGGCGAAAAGGCTGGCCATGGTAATGTCTGAACATGGTTGTTATTGTTGAACGCAGTTGTGAGTCGTGAGGAATGTGCACGCGCGTTATCTTGTTGAAAAAGATTAATATCTTGATGCTTAGCCATAAACGGCATAACGGTCGGCCGTAAAACTTCATCTTTGTAGCGTTAGGCGTTTATATTGCCATTGATAGTGATGAGTGGAGTTTTATGGTTGAACGATATTCCTCCCCATACCATGACACTACCACCACCCCAACGATCTGTCTCTTGGATACATGAATCTGCATAGCGTTTTCCTCTTCGTCTCCACATACGAGTTCGTCTATCATTACGGCGAAGATGTCCAGTATCTTGATTCATCCGTCAATAAGACAGTTGTCCATTGCCTGTGTGACCATATCTGACGCTGTTGTGTCCATCTAAGGCAATTTTGGCGTCGTACTGCTGTCAGCATGTTACCATGGCGTCTTACCGTGTTTGCTCCAATTTGTATCCTATGGACGCCGACAGTCTGTCGTGCTGATTGGACGATCTCTCAGGTGCTGAAGACGAATGTATCGGTCCTGTTGGGCAGTATTTGCTCTCTGTCTTCCGGGACGTGGCCTATCATTCAAAGACCCAGTTTGGTTGAATCTTTGGATGAGTCTGGTAATTGTTGAGGCCGAACACTGCATTCTGCGTGCAATTTTACGACTTGAAATGCCTCCTTGCACCATGCCCCAAACTTCATGTCTCTGGTAGTCTGAAAGTCTTGGCATCTACGGCTTAGTTTATTGCAGTGGCTTACAAAAAAGGATGAGGAATTTCAATTCTTAAGCAAGGCTTTCCAAAACAAACATGAGAAAATCACGCGTGCGTAAAATAGCGGTGCACTCGACCATCCCCCTTTTCTGTACCCAAGCACGTAAAATCATTCAAGCGTAAAGTTGCCGAAAGAAGTCTGACAATTCATTTTCAAACCGATATAGGTCATCATTTAAAAATTTATTTTTTTAAATATTTGTAATTTACAAGTGTTGCGTTTTCATTGGCACTCAGTACAGATTCTTCTTCTAATAAAGAAATTAAACTAAAATATTTGTTCAAAAGTTCGCATTTCTCATTGTCATCATAGACAATATCATCTAGACTTTCATCTTTTATTATATTTTGAAGTGGATTGATATTACATGAACCTTTATTTGATTTTATGAGCATTTTCATAATTTTCCAGTAGGTTTTTTGATTTGATATATTTTCTAAAATAATATCTTAAGGTGGTACATAACACTACAGGGAGATAACTCTGTAAAAATCAGCTGAACGTTTTAATCACGTTCTATTTTTAAGGAAATATCAAGCTTCTCAATGATCAAAATTAGTGTTTGTCAAACTGCTATATAGCCAATGATTTTTTTCCGATAAAGTGTGTGGTTCAAGTCTTTTGAATTTTTTATATTTTTGTCAAAGGGTCAAAGTAAATATTTTGTCAAAATTTTATGAAAATTAAACTAGCCAAATTAATTTTAGTAGAGGTGTTCGGTACCACCTTAATATCTAGATTTTTTCAAAATTTTCCTTTGAATTTTTTTTTTAAGATTATTAACCTTGTTTCTCTGCTGCTTGTATTCAATCATATCGGATTCTTTTTTCGATTTTAAAGCTTTTTTCCTAAATCTGTTGCGTTTACGGATTTCTTTTCGCAGTACATTCGTAAACCATGGTTTATCATTATTTCGTACGGTTACGAATGTGTCCTTTGCTACCTGGAGAAATTTTTCTGTGAATGTATTACACATTTCGTCAACATCCTCCATGTCGGGAAATATCGCATTCCAGTCAATTAAATCCGAAAACCTTCCTTATCACTTCTGCCGTACACCCAAACTTCTCTGTTAAACGAATGATTTGTGGATTTTGGTTACTCGATTAATGCTACAGCTGCATTATGATCGTTTATTTCAGAAGGTATATTAAGAACGTCTGAACTAATTGAATTCATAGTATCACTAATTATAATAATAGGATCCAACAGATACTGTGATGCATAATCCCTGCTTGTTTGGTGATAATATTTTTGAAATTAAACATATTAACTATGTCAAGCCATTTATTATTCGCGTCTGTCAATAGATCACAATTTATGTCACCGCATCCGAATTTGGTTCTCAAGTTCAAGTTTTCGTACTGCTATATCATCTTTTGTATAGATGAGGATGCCACCACCAGAATTGTTTCTATCTTTTCGGATTAAATTTTTTGAGAATGTTCCAAGATAAATTTCTTCGTTATCTACATTTGAATTTAAGTGCGTTTCTGTTATAGTAATAACATCGTATTCATCAGTGAAATTCTTCAGGCGTTCTAGTTTATTTCTAACACTGCGTTTATTATTATTACATACTGAAAGGATATTATTAGTGTTACTTGAAGGTGTACTCGATATATTCACTTCGGGGCCTGCAAGGGGCCTGTTTATCGAAGCTGTCCTAGGATTTGCCCTAAGACTTTTCTTAGGAATAAATTAGGATAATGTTAGGACCGACTTACGACATGTCTCAGCATGCACATCGAAGCTATCTTAGGACTATCTTAGCTAGTATGTCCTAACCGCTGTCCTAAGTATTAGCGTAAAAAAAAATAGGAATTCAAAAATTTTAAATGTTTAAGAATGCATTGAATTTCACTAGTAGTAAATAATTACTAGATTAAAAATTAGAATTATTATTATTATACTTCACGTAAAAATGCCATATTTTGATTGGCTAATACGAGGGTGTTAATTTACTTGATTACCCTTCACAGAGTGTGCGCTTTATTAATTACGACTCGATCCTATGGCAAATACTCTATTACCTTTCACGGAGACGCTTGATCAAGTGTGCGCTTTATTAAATACGACTCTATCATATGGCAAATACTCTATTACCCTTTACGGAGACGCTTGATCAAGTGTGCGCTTTATTAAATACGGATGGTTGTTATGTACAAGACGTCATAGTTTATTACTTTGAATTTGAAATTTAATCGACAGTAATAACAGAACATTCAGTATAATAAATTAAATAACACATATCTGAGAGGGTGATAGAGCAGATTGTTACCCCTCGAAAAGACATTGTCAACCTTGGCTTCGCCTCAGTTGACAATGTTTTTTCGGGGTAACAATCTGCTCTATCACCCTCTCAGCTATGTGTTATTTATATATTATTATACTTCACGTAAAAATGCAATATTTTGATCGGCTCATACGAGGGTGTTAATTTACTCTATCACATAACTGAGCGGGTGACAATTTTTTTGAATGTTACCCTCTCGTGCAGAGCCTCAACTGGTTTCTTCAATTGGTAACCAGATTTTATAACTGTCACATGTGCGCTTGAAAGTAACGAAGATAAGCAAATAGCTGTAAGATCCTAAATGACACCGATTTTAAACAAAAACAATAGGCGACATGTTTGCTGAAGTTTCAGAGGATGATATATCTGATTTACTGGAGTTAAAAGACTCAAAGTCAACAAAAAGATGCATAGCACACAGTTTAAAGATTTTCCGTGGTTTCCTCGGCGAAAATAATGAATTTGAAACATTTGCTAAACCAAAATTGAATGAAAAACTGAGACTGTTTTTTGCTTCGTTACGAAAAACTGACGGGAATCACTTGAAAAAGTCTACCCTCACTAATTATAGGTACGGATTGTCAAAATATTTGAAAGAACATTGTTCCATAGACATTACAAAGGATGTTCAATTCACCGGTTCAAATGATGTGTTCAAGGCAGTCGTCGTTAACTTAAAGAAAAATAAATGATTTATGGCAGCGCACAAAGGATTCCTTTGATATAAGTGACACACCATGGTATTGTAAAGCTCCTATAGGGGAAAACAGTTTAGCAGTAATGATGCCTGAAATTTCCGAGAAGGCTAAACTTTCTAGAAGGTACACGAATCACTCTATACGTGCAACATCCATTACTGCAATGGATGAAGCAGGCATAGAAACTAGGCACATAATGAGAGCCAGTGGACATTGGAGTGAAGCCTCTATCCGTAGTTATTCTAAAAGACTAAGCGAAAACAAGCAACGTGAGATGTCTGACAGTTTGAATAATATGCTTCAAAGTGACAATATTAATCATGAACTTCAGTCTGAAGGTGATCACAATATAACTGAGACTACACCTGATGCACAGCCATTACTTGGGCTCAGTGCAGCTGAAATAGAAGCTTTATTTTCATAAAAACACATTGGAAGAAATTCCTGTCATGCCTATGGATATTACGGTTGCGCCGCAAAATGTTTGTGTTCCTGATAACCAAAACAAGGAAACCTTACCTCATCCAGCTTTTTCTTCAAATTTTCAGCTGTCCATGAACAATGTCCAGCCATGGTGGAACACTCACACAATTAATTTATGTCCGAATATTACTAACAGTGTGGTAAATTTCAACATTCACAAATGATTTTCAAAATTGAATTGTTTCACCAACTAAACAGTTAAATTTTATTCTTTGTTGAATTTTATTCTGACAGACAGTTAAATTTAATTCTATGTTGAATTGTTTCATATATAGTTATATACTAAATGTATGTGACCTTTGTTTTTTCTCTTATTAAAGAATTGATAAAAAATATTTCTGTTTTCTTGTTGTATTTTCTCCATTTCATATGAAATATGTATCAAATTTGAAAAAGCATGTCGGGTAGATGTGTACATGAGACAGTATCTTTATTTTCGTTATCTTAAACAGAAATGCCAATGAAAGTTGGTTATTATCAAAGTATATCATGATATAATTCAGTCAATAATTCACATAAAGTTGCAATATTTTTTCCAGATAAAAATAACAGAACATTCAGTATAATAAATTAAATAACACATAGCTGAGAGGGTGATAGACAGATTGTTACCCTTTGAAAAACATTGTCAACCTCGGCTTGGCCTCAGACAGTGAAAACTAATAAAACACAATCGGTAACGATCATTATTTTTGAGTGAGTTTAGTTCGAAGTGTCACGGTTTTATACTTGACGGAGTTCAAAGGCAAAGCTCGTGCATCTTTTATAAAAATACGGAATACATAAACTATTTCATTACGGATCACATGCGTTTGGGTAATGGACCTCCTTTTTCTTGAACCTTTTTTAAAGTAAATATTCTTTAATATTTAACCTATGTCCATTTATTTTAAGTCTTTTATATATTCTTATTTGCCACGTAAAAATATGAATAGAGGGGTGTCATATATATATATATATATATTCTACTGTTTTTGTAATATCTTTTGGATAAGAGCAAGAACACATTAAATAAGTGAAAATAGAAAAATATTTAAAAAAGGGGGATCCATATATAGCGGCGTACGTATTTGTTTACAAAATTAATCATCATAAAATATATCATAAAGTTAGGATCATCCTAAGACCATCTTAAGACACCTACTTGGGTGTCCTAAAGTCAGGACGATTCCTGTGACTTTTCCTAAGTTACGATATGTTTGAAAAACGCACTTAGGACATGGATGCGTCCTAAGATCATCTTAGGACATGTCCTAGTCCTAAGTAGTCCTAAGAGCGCTTCGATAAACAGGCCCCTGGAGTACAAACAACAGAAACACAATGTCAATATTTATATTCGAGCTTAGAAGAGCAGGCAAAAAGAAGACGAGAAATGAGCATCGAAAATTAGTTAATAAAATGTATATGAAAGTATTATTATGTAGATTAAGGGAACGACCATTTAACTTCAAGGGAAGGAGGGATGGTTTTTTCCTAAAAAAATATTGATCCCCAATTTGATGAAAAAAAATATTGTGGTCAAGCAGATAACAAAAAAAAATATTCTGAATCCAGATTTTCCCCATACCTTATAGTGTTAAATTTTTTGACTCAGACAAAAATGGTTGCTTCCTAATGAATCCACAATGGCTCCTCTTTCGTCCAATAGCTGCCCGATAATGATCAATGCTATTACCCATTTGGATCGATAAAACCAGCATAGATTGTCACAAAGCAGCTATCTGAACAAATGCTTACCAGCAAACCACACATATCACACACATAAAGGTACAAATCTAATAAAAATGAGTAGTTGCCAAATGGCCAAATAAGCAATTTCAAAGAAGTAAGAAGTGCAAGAAGAACCAGTTTATGTTAGACATTCTATCAAATTTGAATCTACGAATAATAGAGAAATTTTGGGATTTTGATATAAAGATAGAATTAATTGGCAAACAAAATAAAAATAAACTATTGGCTATTTCGGTCAATATATGAAAACAATTAAATTCAAATATGTTCTGTGTTTTTTGTAAATGTGATAAGTGAACATAATAATGCCACGACGAACGTACATGTAGACTACCAAATTATCATAATGTACGAATAATTTGAGATATATGGACGAGTATTTTAGATTAGCTTGAAGCTGTAATAAAACAATAGCATATAGTTATGTATACAATCCTTGTAATTATACATATACATTATACATCATGAAACCTTAAGGATGTTGTCGTGTACACTTAATTATATGTTCAAAAAAAAAGAAAGAAAAAAAAAAGAAGAAAAAATAGACTTCTAAATATACATTGAAATTATGTTATTTAAATTGAACGTATATTGAGAACAGTTACAGTCTAGTTATAAATCACTTTCCACGTAACGGACCTGGGGCCGGTAACAAGAAATTTTATTAAGAGAGATCGAGAGTATTGAATTAAGGGGAAGATAAGATAATCCTAAGATAATTCAAAGAGTGTAAACCAAAGCTCCCTTAGGTTGTTCGTAGATCGGTCTTATTTCTCTCTTAAGTTGCATCGTAATAGTTTTCAAGTTACGACTTCTTAATAATTTTCCAGCGTCTCCGTGTTAGGTTCCTCACAACGAAATTAGAACCGCCTCAAATGAATCATACAAACGTTTTAATGAACGGTAAAATGCGCACAATAATCAACTACCCATTCAATTCTAACGGTTCATTCTAACAACAGCATGGCTCAGAATAAAAAATCAAAGGGGGAAACAGCCCGCCAAGCCAAGGAAACCAAACTTTAATTCTGATGAATTAGAGATACTAGTCGACGAGGTTGAAAAGAATAAAATCCTCCTCCTTGGCAAACTCACAGATACAGTAACAAACGAGAGGAAGAAAAAGTTGTGGGGCACAATAGCGGCAAAAGACAGTGCAGTGGGGGACCATAAGAGATCGTCCGATGATATGAGAAAAAAGTGGCAAGATTGGTCCAGCATAACAAAAGGGAGAAAAGCCAAGCAACTAAGGGAAAGTTCTGCAACAGGCGGTGGACCCCAAGTTGTGGAACATTTTACACCACTTGAAGAAAGAGTTTTGAACATCATGGGTGCAACTGCTGTAGAAGGGCTTTGTACAGAGCTAGATTCATTCCTTCCTCAAACCATAGACACCGATAATATTGATACAAGGTCAGTAAATCTTAGTTGTCATGAATAACTTGATTCTGATGAGGATGAAACATATTCTATTGAACTTGAAGGTAAGAATGCATCAACATCCCACGAAGATCTAAATGAATCTGCAGTAGATGAGAGAACTGAGAGAGAAAAAGCAATTGATCAACAACTTCAGCAAGTAGTCCGTGAGGGAGAGAAAAGTAGGAGAGAAAAAAACAATCTCAAGAATGTTTGGATAATAAAAGATTATGTGTTAATAAAGTGCGAACACAGTCAGGGACAGCAAGTACAATCAAACAAAACAAAATTATTATTGATGATGACGATTTGAGATCAGAAACACAAAGTGTTATTAAGGTTGAAAATGATAGGCTCAGTATAGAGAAGGACAGATTGGGGGTATAAAAAAGCGATTAGAAATTGAAATAGAACACTTGAATGTTGACAAAGACAAACTTCAAGTTGAGAGTAGTATCGATGAAAAATTATCAAAGCTTGTAGAAAAACATGATCCCAAGGTTGGAGATGAATATGTTGAACCATCCAAGTTTACACAGGCATCAGGCAGCTTTCAATATTCTGGAAGTGTTCCACAACTTTTTAAATTGTGAAATGAAGTAAGTCTTACCTAAGAAAATACACATGTTTGAGATTATGTCTGTTAATATTATTATATATGCAATAAGTCTTAACCATTTATTTGTATTTGTATTTTGTAAGAGAGCTACCGTTTATATATTTTTTTTTGGGGGGGGGGGGGGGGGGGGGGGGGCTAGAATGATATTGAAAAAAGGCAGGACAAGAGTTTTGAGTAAAAAGTTAGGATAAACAGGACCGAATAGTATGAAAAATAAAAAGGCCGGTCAGAGATTATAACTTAGACAAAATGCAGCACACATTATTTCATCCTAGTCGCCCATAAAAATCAAATAATAACTCCATAACCTGTACAAAGTCAGGACCAATTCTATTTGCAAGTTGCACTACATGTACAAAATGTATATTGTTAAACAATGTAGACATGCATGTATTGAGGTATACATGTACATGTATTATAATTGTATATTAAAAATTACTTTATTTATCTGTTTCAAATTGGTTGAAAAATGTGGAACTATGTTCTATTGTGAAAATTTGCTGATCTACATAGCTGATGATAAAGACAATATGATCATTGACAAATCTGTAGAGCACTTTCTACCATTACATGTATACATGCCTTCTGACGAATGATATTGAAAAAAGGCAGGACAAGAGTTTTGAGTAAAAAGTTAGGATAAACAGGACCGAATAGTATGAAAAATAAAAAGGCCGGTCAGAGATTATAACTTAGACAAAATGCAGCACACATTATTTCATCCTAGTCGCCCATAAAAATCAAATAATAACTCCATAACCTGTACAAAGTCAGGACCAATTCTATTTGCAAGTTGCACTACATGTACAAAATGTATATTGTTAAACAATGTAGACATGCATGTATTGAGGTATACATGTACATGTATTATAATTGTATATTAAAAATTACTTTATTTATCTGTTTCAAATTGGTTGAAAAATGTGGAACTATGTTCTATTGTGAAAATTTGCTGATCTACATAGCTGATGATAAAGACAATATGATCATTGACAAATCTGTAGAGCACTTTCTACCATTACATGTATACATGCCTTCTGACGAATGATATTGAAAAAAGGCAGGACAAGAGTTTTGAGTAAAAAGTTAGGATAAACAGGACCGAATAGTATGAAAAATAAAAAGGCCGGTCAGAGATTATAACTTAGACAAAATGCAGCACACATTATTTCATCCTAGTCGCCCATAAAAATCAAATAATAACTCCATAACCTGTACAAAGTCAGGACCAAGTCTATTTGCAAGTTGCACTACATGTACAAAATGTATATTGTTAAACAATGTAGACATGCATGTATTGAGGTATACATGTACATGTATTATAATTGTATATTAAAAATTACTTTATTTATCTGTTTCAAATTGGTTGAAAAATGTGGAACTATGTTCTATTGTGAAAATTTGCTGATCTTCATAGCTGATGATAAAGACAATATGATCATTGACAAATCTGTAGAGCACTTTCTACCATTACATGTATACATGCCTTCTGACGAGTCCACAAAGTGTTTTTCAAGTGGCACCTCATCAGTATCCAGTGAAAATTCTATTTGTATTCAGCAACACCAACAAACAGATTGTTTTATTCAAATAACACATGATTTATCTATTACATTAAAAAATTTCCATCAAAGGCTTATTTCATCACTTTTAAATATTTAGTTTTTCTCTAGTTTGTTTTTGGTACAGTACATAGTACTAATGTGAACGTATGATGTCCTTATTGATACAAGTATTATGTATACTTGTATGTATATGATGTGTTAGGGTGGATATCCCTAGTAGAGACTGTTTTTGTTTTATTTAATTTTTTATGCTTTTTACAGTACAAATATGTACGTTCCAAAATTGCAATACATGTATATCATATTCAGGGAACCTGTTTTGTTTTATAACTGTTATTGAAAGTATTTCTCATCTGTTGTGTTTATTTGTTTTTGTTACTGTTAAGTTTAATGGTTACATGTATGTAAAAGATTACATATGTCATGTTATACATTTGAAATAATTTTATAAGTATAGGTTTTACAGAGGAATAGTTTGTTGAATTTATATTCTGTTAAAAAATATTGGTTTTTCAGAGAATACCAATAAATTGTTTGAAATTAAGGTTTTAGTTTTACTGTTGCTGATGATTGACATCTTTTTTTAGCCCAGCTGACAAAAATTCACCGTGAACTATTGTCATACTTTTCCGTCCGTTGTCCATACATCATCTGTTTACTTTTCTTGAAAGATTTTCTTCTCTGAAACAGCTGAACACTTTTTTTATAAACTTGGAATAAATGAACCTTAGGTTAAAATTGAGAATGTAAATGGGGAATGTGTCAAAGAGACAACAACCCGACCAAAGAGCAGAAAACAGCCCAAGGCCACCAATGGGTCTTCAACACAGCGAGAAAATCCCGCAACCGGAGGTTGGCTTCAGCTGGCCCCGAAACAAAAATGTATACTAGTTCAGTGAAAATGGACTTCACACTAAACTCCGAAATAGATAAATAAAATTAAATTAAAAAAAAAAAAAAAACACACAAGACTAACACAGGCCAGAGGATCCTGACTTGGGACAGGCGCAAAATGCAGCGGGGTTAAACATGTTTTGTGAGATCTCAACCCTCCCCTTTACCTCTAGCCTATGTAGAATAAACAAACACACAGCAATACCCACAGTAAAACTCAGTTTAAAAGAAGTCCTAGTCCGATGTCAAAATAGGTAACAAAAGAAACTAAGCTAAATGACAATGATACATAAATTCACAAAGGATTACTATCAGTTACTGACATGCCAGCTCCAGACCACAATTAAACTGACTGAAAGATTATGTTATCATCAAATGAAAATCAAGCACAATCCCTCCCGTTAGGGGTTTAGTATCATACCATCATAAAATATATGAGAAGAACATAACCCGTATCATGCCAACAACTGGTTTTAGAATAAATTTCTGATGCAAAGACCCTATGAGTGAATCAATATTAATTCCAAATTATGCCATCTTTAATGATCTGACAACAGTATCGTAGGTTTTCTAGATTATAGTTTGTGAATTATATGTCCTCACATGGCTAAAAATAGAATATAAGGTCAGACTCATTTCTGGGTCAAATATGCACCAAACAATCGCAGATATTGAAAAGTCGTTACCTACAAATGATCAGCCAAACAAATGGAAAATTGGCAAAAACAACCCTTCGGGAATTTGATTTTGACATAACATGTCAAGCATGGCTATTACCTAGAAAACTAAAAGACATCTTAGGTAATCTATAAAATTGCAAAAATTATCAATCTGACTGCAAAGTTTCATCAAAATTAAAGTACTTATGGTGGAGTTGTGACCTATTACAGGTCCTTTTTTTGCTGATTTTTACTTTTATTTTGCAAATGTAAATTACAAAAAAATTATATCAGTATGACAAGTTCTACGTTACTGCAAAGTTGAATTGAAATCAATATACATAAATAAGGCCGTTAGTTTGCTCGTTTGAATTGTTTTACATTGTCATTTCGGGGCCTTTTATGGCTGACTATGCGGTATGGGCTTTGTTCATTGTTGAAGGCCGTACGGTGACCTATAGTTGTTAATTTCTGTGTCATTTTGGTCTCTTGTGGAGAGTTTCTCATTGGCAATCATACCACATCTTCTTTTTTTTATATTGGTACAAAAATATATTTACACGCCTTTTGATTTCCGACTGGACGTAAAGCAACAAACAATCAATCAAGGTCATATTTTAATGTGGATGTTTTATCATTGTGAACTAGGAGACCGTTCTTTTCAAAGGTCATAGGTCAAATGTGAAGGTAATTTTTGGGGGATAAATAAATAAATAAATGAAAGTGCATTTAAATAGACAATCATATAAATCAGAATCAATTTATTTCACACACAACACTAAATCATAGATATTCAGATATAGACTCAGATTTGTTTGTTGATTGAAGTCATATTAAAGTTTATTCATCACCAAACACTGACTGAATCAGCTGATCCCGCAATCTTCTGCCATCATTGCTGTCCATCTGTCCTTCATTGCGATCATCATCTCCAGGCAGTATATCGTCTATTTCCATTTCTTCTGTCGGAAGGGGTATATTCTTCTCCATGCACTTATTATGCAATCCTGCTGTTGCTAAGATAACATTCAAATTTCTCACTGGGGAAAGTGTAAGTCCTCTGAAAAGACAACGAAACCGAATCTTCCAAATTCCATATGTTCTTTCTATTACCGAGCGAGTGGATCTATAAGCTATGTTGTATTTTCTCTCCGCGGCGGTTGTTGGGGACAGGACAGGTGTCAACAACCAAGGCTTCAGTCCATAGGCACTGTCTCCAAGTAACCACCCATTCTGTATCTGTCCGGACTCAAACGCAAGGGATAAATTACAATTATTCCATATGTGATCATCATTGGTCGAACCTGCCCAACGTGCTACTACATTGAGGAATTGATTTTTGGCGTTGCATATACATTGTATATTAAGAGCGTGGTACCCTTTTCTACATACGTATAAGTGTTAGTCGACAGATGGTGCCTTAATTGGAATTAGAGTTCTATCAACTGCTCCGAGTACCAGAGGGAATTCTTTTATTTCATAAAAGTCAAACATAACTGCTTGTCTTTCGTCCACAGACATCGGAAATTTCACATAGTTTCTTATATTGTTCGCTAAAGTTTTGGAAATAATGTTGACGCAACGAGAAACTGTCATCTTGCGAACGCCATGGGCATCCCCAATCACACCCATATAACTTCCACTTGCGTAATACCTCAACGCTATCATGACTTGAAGAGACACCGGTAGAGATTGTGACCTCCTTGTTGGTTTTTCTAGAACAGCTTGAAGTTCCCCACATAAAGCGTAAATACTCTGTCTATCAAGACGATAAGACTTTATTATTTAATTTGTTGGTCTGTCATAAAATCCAAAGGATTTGTTCGATCCCTGAACAATTTTCTAGTGAATTCTTG